GCGATGATCAACGGGGATACAGGTGATACAGGTGATACGGCGATATAGAAGACCCATTAAAGAGAATGATTACCTGATTTCTATTGGCAGCTCTCTTCCATGGTAAGCATTCGTTGTCAAACAGATCAAACATCTAAAATTTAGATTATATACTTATTCAATTGTGGCTTTCTTAGAAATTTAGTTGAACTTTGAGCAGAGAAGTGGTGAATGAAAGAGCTTAGCAAATATCTGGAAGCTACGAGAGCATATAGGTGGAGGCTTTAAACTTTAAAAAGAGAAAAAAACTGTGCTGAATGCATGTTGAAATTCACGGATCACCGAATATGAGAAGGCTCTTCATCGTCATACACTGTATGGAAAAGTATCTTTCTTTTTCAAATGGGTAACATGAGATACGTATCAAATCAAATTGTTATTGAACTTTCGGACCACAGTGCTTTTTTGATGAATTGCAAAAACAGCGAAGTGTATGAGTAAAGGTGATACTTGGATTAGTTTGTACGACCTTTACCGCATCCGAATTATGAAGGAAAAGAGCAAAGATTTTTGTTTTATGCTTTCTTACCATATACAGCCATGCTTCAAGATCGTCCTTTCTGCCTTGTTCAACTCCCAGATGACATGCTCGTGATGCAAATCGTATGGTACCCAAAAACTTGACCGAAAGTCGTGCCACTCTGGAATATTGAGGGTGAGATGAAGCAAACTGCAAAGGAAAAAACCGAAAAAACGGGTAACTGAATTATTCGCTACCGTACTAGGTAGCGTCGAACAGCTAACGGAAATCTCGTAAAAGCTAAGCAGATTGCCAGTGATTCGGACCCACTTTACTTGTTTTGTATCACCAATGCGATACTTCCTAGCGATACCAAAATCCAGCATGTATATGATATTCTCTTCATGTCCTAGTCCAATGGCAAAATTTTGTGGTTTTATGTCTCTGGAATGTTGCAAATGCACACAGTAGGAAGCATTTTAAAAAAAGATTGCCTATGTAGGTATCCGATATCATGCAGATCCCATATTGATTGTAGAGTTTGTAGAGAGGCATTCATAGCTGTTGGTTTTGAGTAATTTTTATAAAGAATATTTCTGCGAATGTCTTCTAACGATTTACCAACGAGTCCCATGACCAGAAACTAAATGAAGATTGATAAGGTGGATATGATCAAATCTCTAGCATACTTTAAATTTACGCGTTTTTCCTTTATCAACAAAAGCTAAGAAGTGTGAACACTTTTTTGGATTTTTGATTTCGTTGCATAAAGTGAACACTTGTACTTCGATTTTGAGTCTCAGCATCAATTTGTCTCCTTCTGTCATCTCGGTTTTCATTGCGTACTCCTAAATGTAAGCGATAAGCTCCATAAGATATCAGCCATCTGCCTTATAAGGTGCAACCATCTCCTCTCCTGGGACTCGCGCTCATCAGAAAATCTCCCGACCTCTCACCAAAATGGCAAGTGTCGCATTCAAGTTAAGGGTTTTGAAAACCGGGTCTTGTTAGCTTTTCCTTGTTTTGCAAGTATTACATAAGGCAAACATGTTTCACTTGTTATGAGCATGTCTACGCGCATTTTTGGTAACTT